ACTGATCTTGAGTTTTGGAATTGTAGTTCACCTAAAATCCAGAGAGCACTGTGGACTCAAATGGTGATGGATCTGGACCAAACTTGGCGCGAGTACTCAATATGCCCAAATGTGAACACTGGTGGAGTTTGCGGAAAACAGACCTTTACATTTGGGAGTTATAGTTGCTGGGATTTATAGTTCACCTACAATCAAAGAGCATTCCAAACCCCACCAACGATAGAATTAGGCCAAACTTCCCACACAGAACCCCCATGACCAACAGAAAATACTATGTTTGCTGGTGGTCTTTGATGACCTCTCTGACACCCCCTCATGACCCCCCAGTGGTCCCGACCCCCAAGTAAAGAAACACTGGTGTAGATGCAATCTAAGTGACTACAACGAATCATCCCTAGATCTCAGGCTTTGACCCCGAAGCATGACTTGGCAATGCTAGTGGCCAATTGCTAGACCCCATGAGCTAAGATTTCTTCAATACCTTTGCCCTGCTCTGACACAGCCTTGCTGTCCATGACTGTCTTTTCCCAAGCTAGTGCAGGGGCTTCTGTGCTTCTCTCTACTGTGTCTTTGTTTCCTTCCATCTCGAGTGGCTTCTTCCCAGGAGTTCCCATGGTGTGCTGCCCAGCATCCCTAATCACATCCACTGCATTGTGAGTGCAAACAAGGACACATTCTCTGCAAAGGGTGACAGGCCTTAGGGATTATTCGGGGGAAGACAGGAGATCCAGTTCTCCCCATTTGGATCATGTATCCTAATCTGGCAAGGGAGATCTGCTTCCTCTGAATGTAATATATGTCCCTCTTCCTCTGTAAGCACGTGAGAAGAATAAATTGGTCAAAGGACGAAGGATTTCCATCTTTCCAAGCACAACATCCACGGAAGCACAACATCCACGGCAAATATACACCCTGCGATGGATGGAGGGAGAAGATGGATAGCTGTGTGGTAAGGAGAGCACTCTCATTGTCTGAGCCAAGTCCTGTGCCCAAAGAGAGGAGGAGGGGAAGGGCAGATGGGGATCGGAAGACTGCTGCAATGACCTTGCAGTGACAGAATTTTAATGTGCGGTTGATGCGACGGAAGCAATGCAGCAGCCTGCCTTTCTCTCCCTTTGCTTTCCCCTCTTCTACCAGCACTCCTCTGAATATCAGACAATTACATAACACTGCTTTTTGGGCATTCACACTTGCCCTTACCTGGGTTCAACAAACTGTTCTAACCGGAGATGTATTTATCAAACTGTCAGTTTGGCCCACACTCAGGGCAAGCAGCCTTTCTTCCCCATCTCTAGCAGTGAAGATTTCTTTTCATTAAGAGGCAATAGCATTTGGGAGCAAAATTCAAAGCAGGACAAACCACTGTTGGGGACTAGACTTTTCTCTCGTCCAAATTTAGTCATTCCACAGGTGTATATATAGGTGCTTAAGAAGCACACCTGGATGCCCATTTGGCCCCCACTGAAGGCATTTTATCTATACCAGTGTACAATGCCTGATGTGGGACTGATGGTTATGTATAAGAAAGTGCAACCAGGTGTGCTTTGTGTATATATTCAGGCATACAGGTTGAGCATTCCTTATCTGGAAAAAGGCAAATAAAAAAAATACATCCAAGTTGCTCACATGGATGGCTGAGATAGTAACACCTTTCTGATAGTTCAATGTATGCAGAATTTGTTTCATGCACAAAATAACTTAAGTATTGTATGAAATTCTCTTCAGGATATACACGTAAGTTATATATGGAAAAGAAATACATTTAATGTTTCAATTTGGGTCCCATCACCAAAATATCTCATTATGCATGCATGTGCAAATACAGGTATTCCAAAATTGGGAAAACTCCCAAATCCAAATAATTTTTGGTTCCAAGCATTTTGGATAAGGGATAACTCAATATATATTTTGTAGTTGTTTATTCATTTAGTCACTTCCAACTCTTAGTGACCTCATGGACCAGCCCACACCAGAGCTCCCTGTCGGCCATCACCACCCCCAGCTCCTTCAGAGTCAAGCCAGTCACTTCAAGGATGCCATCCACCCATCTTGCCCTTGGTCGGCCCCTCTTCCCTTTTCCTTACATTTTCCCCAGCATCATTGTCTTCTCTAAGCTTTCCTGTCTTCTCATGATGTGGCCAAAGAACTTCATCTTTGCCTCTAATATCCTTCCCTCAAATGAGCAGTCGGGATTTATTTCCTGGAATATGGACTCAATATGTTTTGGGAAACTACGTATTTGTGCATCAAGTATGTTTCATTATATGCCAGTTCCAGCTATGGAGACACATACCTTTATTATTAGGCTTGTGCATTTTGGCTGAACTTCAGTCATTTTGTGCTGGTTGGATTCCGGTGGACTCCCGTATCTGTTTTCACTCACCTCCTGAAAACAGGCAGGTAGCCGGATAGCCGTTTTCGGTCTGCAGCCGAAAAATGTGGCTAGATCCAGCCCCCTGGCAGCAATGGAGAACTTACATGGCTCTTCCTTCCATTCCTAGGACCCTTTCCCCCTTTCCCTTCAAGGGAGCCTGGGTTTCAGTTAAGGGACCAAACTCAACTTGCGTAAGATACATCATGGCATTCTTCAATTCCAATTGGCCCAATAGGCAGGGCTCACAGGCAAACTCTGTGCAAGCAGCATGCAGCGACCTCTTTGTGTGCCTCATGATGCCGAATAGAAGAGGAGGAGCTGTGATTGGTTGCTACATGGTCCCATTACAGATGGAAAAACATGATGGTCGGGCTCTTGCCATTACGCCCATCCAAACAAGCCATTCTGACAGAAGGGAACTGACCACTCTGAATCCATGCACAAGCCTATTTATTATAGCATCCCCTCCCATATGTCTCAGATGAAATCTTGGACATGTGTGGGAAAGCAATGTAAGTGTAACCATGCACATTTGATAATGCTATATAAATTGGGCCCTACTCTAGTAAATGTAGCATATACATTACACACACACACACACACACACACGACACTAAAGTTTTCTGGCTGAGAAATCCAAATGCCCCCCCTCTCAACTGCAAATCCACCCATTTAAAAGTGGAAGGAGAGCTATAATTCTGTAGTTTGAAAGGGTCCAGGGGTTCAAATCACATTCTCTAGTCTCTGCTGTTTCTTAAGCAAATAAAAGTCTTCTCTTCCTTTCCTTTTCATCTTCAGCAGATCTGTAAATATTTAACATCCTCCTGTACCTGTCTTGACTCCTGGACTCTTCTGCCTCTCCCTCCATCTCTTGATGAATGTGTTATGACACCATTTACCTACAGCTCCATCGCTTCTCTCCTCTACAGGAATAATACAAATTGCTGGGCAAAAGGTGTCAATTTAAGACAAGAAGTAGAAAGGGATTATTATTTTTTAGCAGCAGGAATACAGGCATGTAATTGCATTTTATTTTCCTTATTGGCAAAGTCTGCAAAGCTTTGACTGGTTCTGTGCACAGTATTCACTGCTGAACAGGTTGTGGAAAACTGCCATTTTTGAATCCGGTATTTGTGTGTGAGTGTATGAGAGTGCATGTGGAAGCAGAGATATTTTTATTATTCTATTTCTAAAATATCATGTTTCTGACACAAAACCAGGCCTGGGAAATGATATTTAAATGTGAAATAATTCCCCCTTCAAGGGTTTTGGGCTTGCATTTTGCTATTTTGTATGCCTTTTTCATCATAGGGAGCATTCAAGAAAAGCATACAGTTGACTGAAGATCACGGAGTGGCAAAATCAACATCAAGTGGTCTACTCCTGAAATATGTGATTAATGCAATTGATATTTTTCTGATTAGAATTTGAGTTGTGTTTTGGGGGTCTACCTCCTTGGATCAAGGCCATTCCCTGACTCCAATATTTGCCTCAAATAGGCCCCATGGGGGCAAACTCAAAAAATCATAGAATTAGAAGAGACCACAAGAGTCATCCAGTCCAACTCTATTCTGCCCTGCAGGAAAAGTCATAGAATCATAGAGTTGGAAGAGACCTCATGGGCCATCCAGTCCAACCCCCTGCCAAGAAGCAAGAAAAACGCATTCAAAGCACCCCCAACAGATGGCCATCCAGCCTGTTTAAAAGCTCCCAAAGAAGGAGCCTCCACCACACACCAGGCAGAGTTCCACTGCTGAATGTCTCTCACAGTCAGGAAGTTCTTCCTAATGTTCAGGTGGAATCTCCTTTCCTGTAGTTTGAAGCCATTATTCCACGTCCTAGTCTCCAGGGCAACAGAAAACAAGCTTGCTTTCCCCTTTCTATGACTTCCCCTTACATATTTAGACATGGCTATCATGCTCTCAGCGTTTTCTTCTGTAAGTTAAACATGCCGAGCTCTTCAACCCACTCCTCATAGGACCTCTTCTCCAGACCCTTGATCACTTTAGTCACCCTCCTCAGGGCACATTCCAGCTTGTCAAGGGATCCAGTAAGGGAACAAGGGGTGGGGGTGGGGGGGGGGAGGTAAAATGAATTGGATTAAAACAAGTTAAAATGTAAGAATTCTAATGACAGTGGGGGCAGATGAATATGGAGACCTGGAAGTGATCAAGATCAACACATTATGGTATCAATATCCCTGAGAAGAAGAGCCAGAACTACCAACAATGCCTCCAATACCTTCATCATGTGAGCAAGCAGGAATTATAATTCTTTACTAACAGAAGGTCAAAACATCTTCTGAGGATCTCCTGGTCTTCCCTAGTTGGACATTAAGGGGCACATGATGTAGGACAAAGGCAGCCTATGGGTCCAATTCAAAGGGTGAAGTTAGGAAGGTGGCTAGAATGGGAGGGTGATGGTTGTGACTGTGACTACATGTTCCACCCCTTTTCCCAAAAGGCCTATGCTCTAACCTTGATCTCGAAAGGCCCCAAGTGAAGGTGGGTTTCACCCATTCCATTGAACACACTGCCACATGTGCCTGGGAAATCCTCAGAGGACCATTCTGAATCCTTCCCATTTTAAGTATTTTTTTTCCACAACAGTTCTGTCCAAAGCCTCAATATTTCAAAGCTGCTTTATTTGTGTGCCAGGATAGGGCAGAATTTGACTTCCAATGTATTTCTCTCCCAATCTGATCAGTCGAGTGCTCATTCAACCGATGCCATTTTCTGCGATCTGAAGCATTTTGGTGGAGAAAGTTCAAGAGTTCCATGCGCTGATCTTAGAAATCAGCCCTATAAGCAACTGTGCGCATCTCCCTCTAATTGCCTTCTGCTACTTCAAGCTCTGCATGGACAAATTGTCAGTTTCTAAGACATTTGGGTTTTTTGCATATCCAGGTAGAGTGTATTTCACATAATTCTTCTCCTTTCTAGAATTTTTAAATAATTATAAATTACTTAAGAAAATATGCTAGTCTTTGGTATGAGCCATCCAGCTAATGCTGGAGTCTTTGTTTCTTTTGTTTTCAGAAAATTGCACTCAGGTCTTCCGAACAGTGCCTGTAAAGGCCTGGAGCTCTTCAGCTGAAGGATTCTTTATTGTATTCAAACCTTGTCCCATAAGGGTTGCTACTGTTGCTCAGTTTGTGGAGCGCTTTGGAAATTCCGCTGGGTCCGCAGCAAAAAACGCCAACAGTCTTCCTGCAGAAATCAAAAACAGGTTCACCAAACTCATCTAGCCAAGCCCAAGACAGTTTGTTGACCACATAGTGTGCCTCACTCTTTCATTCTACACCAAAGAGTTTGCTTATTTATTTATTTACTCTATTTGTACCCAGTCTTTCTCTACCCCAGTGTTTCTCAACCTTCCTAATACTGCGACCCCTTAATATTTATTTACTGCATTTCTATACTGCTTTTCCTCAGGGGGACTCAAAGTGGTGTACAGCATAATAACTGGCAAAAATTCAATGCCTCACATATGCATAAAAACAATACATTACATATCAAAAACAATAACATATAATTATATGCGCCACCGGGATTGTGGCGCAGCTGGCCGAGTGTCAGCTACATTAAGATCACTCTGATCAAAAGGTCATGAGTTCGAAGCCAGCCCGGGTTGGAGTGGGTTTCCAACCAATTGTGTAGCCTGTTGTTGACCTTTGCAACCCGAAAGACAGTTGCATCTGTCAAGTAGGAAAATAAGGGACCACCTTAAAGTGTGGGGAGGCTAAATTAACTAATTTATGAGGCCATAAAAATTAGCAAAAGCATGCGGGGAATGCGGAAGTGCTTCATCAGTGTCGCAGATGGACGATGAAAGCGACAGCTCCCCTGGCGGCCAGAAAAAGTTAAATAGCCTCTGTCTATGTCTGTATATGTTGTATGTCAAATTGGCATTGAATGTTTGTCATATATGTGTACACTGTAATCCGCCCCGAGTACCTTGCGGGGTGAGGAGGGCGGAATATAAAAGCTGTAAATAAATAAATAATAAATAATAAATTTAAATTAAAATCATTAAAATGGTCAAACATGATTGTTTGCCAGTTTGTGTAGTTTTCAATTACCAATCTTGTAGACTGTGCAATTATAATGAAAGTTTGTGATGAGGACCAGAGCCATCAAGGCTGCCCAAAACAATAAGTAAGGAGTTGATGGAAAAGCCTCAGTTTAGTAGTCCTCACACATCAACAGATGTTACAGGTGCCATGCAGCAAGGAGTCACGCATTGGGGGCCATGGGGGCTCCCTGCACAGATGTTGCTGGTGCTGGGTAACTCCCTGCCCAGATGTAGCTGCTGCTGGGCGGCGAGGAGGCTTGGGCCCTTAAAGGAGCCAGGCAGTGGGGGCCATGGGGGCTCACTGCAGAGATGTTGCTGGTGCTGGGCAGCTCCCTGCTCAGATGTAGCTGCTCAATACAGTTCCTTAATACAGTTCCTTAACGG